CATCCCTCAACGTTACTACCCTTCTATTTGGACAAACATTTTGATAATGTCCGAAACCTTGAATTTTAAAACATCGAAATATTGATAAGTTGGCCTTCTTCGTCTCTTTGGCTGGAATAGTAGATTTTGCACCCATAACTGAAGATCCATTCACATCCACAGAAATAAAGGCATCAGTCTTGGTGTTCGCAACCTCCAGTCTAGAATTTGCTTCATAACCTCTTTTTGTTTGAATTTCAAATTTCAAACAAAGGCTACAAAATGTATCAAACTCAAAAAAGGGTAAGTTCCACCGTACCTAAGATGTTATAATTCAACACACGAAGAAAACGAGCTATCTTTTGTTCTTCCACCTCTTCCATGTCTCTGAACAGTGTTAACTTCTCAAAATCATTAATATATTCACCCACACTCAATTTCCCTTGCACCAAAGTCTCCATCTTCCAATAAGTGATTTTCCTATGATGAAAGACACCCAAGAAACAATATTTTCTTTTCTTTCACGAACATGCTTTCCCTTTAAAACTTCATACCAAAGTGAGGCTCCTCTACTCAACTTCAAGATTGCATATTTGCAACACTTCTCTTCGTCCAACTCCTTGTACTAAAAAATTTGATCAATCTTTATATCCCACTCCAAATAATCTTTTGGATCGTCTCCACTAGTGAACTTGGGCAATTCGTTTATCATGTAATCTTCTATAATTCTTAATGGTCCACGCCTAGGTTATCGTCTTTCTTCCTCTTGCAATCCATGCAAGGCTTCACGCAAAGCATTAATGGAGTGTGGATCATCAACATTCATGGTTACTAATGCGATTTCAATCAACAACATTAGGAAGATCTAGGGAAAATCAAAATGAAAAGCACTGCAACAATACGAACTCCACCAAAAAAAAAAAAACAATTCTTTTCGAACTTTCACGGCAGCAAACGAAAAAAAAACTTGCAGGTTTTGGAGCTCTGATACCACATATGATGCGTGTATGGGGGATAACTTCTTTTTGGATTCTCTGATTATAAAATTACAGCTAAAAAGTACGAAACAAGAACAAGAACATGAGAACAAAGATAACATGTTCAACAAGAAAACAAGAAAAAATGGATTTCGATAAACAATATAGACCTATACATTAAGTATCGATGAAAACAAATCAAGACCTATTGATTTGAATTTGTATCAAACTAGAATACGCATCATAGACTTGACAAAGGGGTGAGTACACAACTCAAAAGAACAACGTTCTTTAAATTCAATTCATTCAACTATATCAAAAAGGTCCGACATAAAGAACTATTTATTGTCTTGGAATGCTCACAAAATAAATAGGAAACTAATAGATGAAAAGAAATTAGTAAATAAAAAGAACTATCAAATAAAAGCTAAAAATAACCCCAAAAGCATGTGTAGAATAGTTTAGCTATAACCGACATCTTTCACCAAGCAAATTCCATTCAAAAAGCCCTTAGAAGTCGATGGTTAGCATCGAAAGTTCCAAAGTGGTTCGCATTTGGTATTTTTTCGAAAAGGTTCTCGTTCGCATCCAAAGACTTCAGACTCTGATGGATTACGATCGATCGCACCCAGTCGCATCTAATCACAACGATCCATTTCATATCGAACATCGTATTCGCATCCATAACCCTTCGCTCCCAAATGACCCTTCGCACACAAATGATCATTTGAACCCAAAGCTCCCTCCTCGCACCAGATACCCATCTCGAAGGTATTCCCTTCGCAGCAATGATCCATCCTGGAACTTACGAGACGGCCATTCGCATTCTCATCATGAACACAATTTAACTTATGACATGTCTCTAAAGGCAACTGATATCATGATCAAAAACACTTTTGAGCATAAATATTTTATGATCATGGTTTAATTTAGTATTTGTCTAGAATATGCAATCATACAAAAAGAAAATTTGTAACTATAATTATCTTATAGTCATGGTTATATATATATATATATATATATATATATATATATATATATATATATATATATATATATATATATATATATATATATATATATATATATATATATATATATATATATATCGACTACAACTAGAAATACCGTTGTATAGCCACATTTATATTCTATGACTACAGTCTCATCTAGAGTTCTGTTTTTTAGTCGAACGGTATACATATCACGAAACTTGTTAGTGGTCCGGTGGTTGGTACACCATTACCGTACACACCATCATCGATGCCATGATCATGGTTTCCATGGTATATATCGTTGATGGCCATGCCTAATGAGGAGTAATCCTTCCTTCTCTCTATCTCTATCTTGTTTTTCTTTTCTCCACTCCTCTCTTCTTTTCTCTTTTTCTTCATTGGGGTTACATCAACAACGAACATTACGGGTTTATGGTGGTGCTTTTTACTGACCTGGAAGCTCTCCATGCTTTTTGGCGTGGGGAGTATGCTAAAAGTCCCTAGACGTCATGAGTTATGTTAATTGACAATTCCAAACTCCACTTCTACATTCAGTTTATTTACTTATGATCTTCTTGAAACTCTAAAAAATACTTTAGACACTTTAATTATTCTATAGTGTTCATTATAAGAAAAGACTAGGATGTTTTGGCCAATCCGAAACTTGTTGTTTTCAAAGAATTCATTAGCTAGACGTCTGCGGACTGATTTAATATGCAAGTGTACGTAAACACGTTTTGCCCGTGTAAATGAAGTGATCCAGGACACAAGTGTACCTATCGGGGTTATCCAACAAAAATTGCACTACAATTTACTAACCTTTCTACGACAATTAGAGGTGAATTAATTAAGGTCATCTTCCATATTAAAATATGGTTTAAAAGAAAGTAATCAGAAAACGAGTTGGTAGCTGTACACTAACCACTCCTTTAATTATATTACTTAATTAAGGCACTTTGAATAGTTTATATGACCAATTACTACTTTCCCTTTTGTTTCAGCATTAACAGCTATCCAGTCCTTAATGTAAAATTATTCGCACAAACTCCAAAAGCAAAGTTATGTTCATCACTAGAGAACCTCTTTGAAAGAACAAGTCCAACTGCATATTATATTCAATCTTTTATCTAACAAGATAGAATCACAAGCCAAGACAACCACGGCCGGCATATTAGCAATTTTATATTGTTTGAGGAATCTAGCATGATACAGATCTACGCCATCCGGTTTCCTTTAATTGCAATGATCCCTGATAATTAAATGAATACACATAAAATTGAAGGGCAACAAATATATATACATAAAAATTTTGATTAAGCGTGTAACGATGTTTTATGTTTGTATATGAGTGTTAGAAAACAAAAATACTGCACACTCATATGACTGACTCAGAACAAAATTTCATGTTTATAAATGTGTTGAAATAATATTATGGATAGTTTCGCACTTAAAAGTGTAAAAATTTAGGCAATTTGTAGTCTTTTAAGATTTAGCAATAATTTGTCACACCATAGTTCTCACAATACAAGTTCATAATTTCGTACACTTTAAGTTTATGAATACGTTAGAAATATGTTTAGTAGCTTGAATTGTCCTAATGATAATATAAAATTCAGTTGAGACCGAAGTTAAGTGCTTATGATTAATTTGAACTCTTGGATGTGTTTTAATCCAATGTTGTGAAAGATAAACAAAGTAAAATAGAGGATGAATCAAATAAAACGAAGAACTCGGAACTGTTTAAAGAGATTTATTCTGCGTACAAGTGTCTTCAATAACATTAAGTACGCTAACAAGAAATATCAATAAAAGCGGATAATAGACATCCATGTTGCTACATGCATGTTTGTGATACTTAAGCGCATTTTATGGTGATCAACAAGAGATGAATTCTTTATCAGAAGGAGATTCTACGAAGTTAAATATAGAGTAATGGCTGGTATTTCTTTTTTACTTGTGTGGTAGTGTTTTATGCTTTTAGCGCAATCTAAAAGTCAACACGAAACTACACACTAAAACAAGAACATCCGTCGATAATGGATGCTGTTAAGCTTCCAACCCCTTAGATGTAGTTTCTAAAGCCTTATAAATAATGAAAAAAAAGAGTTTGTCTCAATTGAATAGCCTCCATAACTGTTGCAAGTTAAGTGCGTATATGTGCGTTTGTGTGTGTATGAGAGAGAGAGAGAGAGAGAGAGAGAGAGAGAGAGAGAGATCCGTTACACTTCGACAAGATGGCATGGGTTTCAAGAAAAAAAGATAGCTATGTTGAAAAACTTTAATGAGGAAAACGTGCTCCTGTTCTACATGGTAAAAAACTAAAAAAAGAAATAGCAAATTTGGTAAATTTGGCAGACATAACTCCCATATAATCTTCAATGAGTTCTCCCAGGGGAGGAAAAACGACATTGCATACATAGTAGTCCAGAGAAATTAAACCAGTTGACAAAGATAATGATCATTAATATGTCTGTGTATTCATATAAGATAAGATTAAATTTAATAAATTTAATTTACATCTCTAGTCGATTAAAGTACCGTTTATAAACAGTAATTAACAAACAAGAAGAATCTCACTATCACTCGGTCCTCCATCTAATTAGATTAAACTTGAATATGTTCCGTAAATATCTGGTACTATATTTATTGCTTGTACTGAAAACGATGCAACAAAAACAAAAAAAACCAGTGCCCAAAAACCTTGATTTCATCATGTTTCATCATCAGGAAACAGCAAGTCTTAGTGTCATAAAGATCGACCACGACACAATCTGGAATTCCCATGTTAATGATGTAATGAGAGTGAGAGTGAGATGAACAAAAGAAACTAGTTCCATGAAAACATGTTAAGCAAAAAAAACAAATATAGAAAAAAGAAAAAAGAAAAAGAAAAATGGAAGATGGAAACCCCAACCATTACAAGAGAAGAAAAAAGAACATTATAACTAAATTGTTGCACATATGCTTGCTGACCTTTGTTTATAATCGAAATGAAGCTATCTAACTAGATCCAAAATAAACAAACAGCCACTCAATCATCGGATCCAAATCAGAATGGATTATTATTGTTCGATCGTCCACCTGAACTGCTTCCTTCACCCCATCCATCCACAGGTAACTGACCATTTGGAGGCATGCTCAACGGTAAGTTGAAGAACGGTAGCCCAGAAGACGGGTCTGGAAAAGGGTGGTTGCTGTTGATTCCACCACCGCCGTTGCCGTCTCCGTGAGAAGATGGTGGTTGAATCTGAAGCCCATCAACTGCCGTCGACTCTTCTTCTTCGAGTGGTAATCTCTCGTAGGCGACATTTGTAAAGGAGGAAGCGATAACGATGACTGGGCCAGCAGCGGTCAACTCTCCCATCACGTTCCCACCCACCACTTGTCCCTGTCCGCCGGCCAAGAATATGGTAAGGCTGGTGGCCCCTGGTGGTGCAGGCGGAGGCAAGAAAGAACCCGACAGAGACAAGATCTCAAACCGACCTTGGAGAGCTATTACCGACCCCGGAGCTGATGGCTGCCGGAGACTGACGTTGGTAACGGTGCCGCTTCCAGATAATATGCAGATCCCGCGTTGCCTCCGCCTTGCATACGTTGCTATAGATTCAAAGACATCGTACCCGTTACTGATTTCCAATATATGAGCTCTGAGGGTGTTGGCACTCTCTCGAGTAATAATGACCGGAGGCTTTGGCTTGTTCTTTGATCCTGGTGGACGACCTCTTGGCCGTCGGCCAACTATGTCGCCTGGTCCACCGCCAGCACCACCACCTGAGTTAGGAGAGATGAGGTCAAGACCCTGATTGTCGCCACCGTCATCCTCCTCATGATGCTGAAAGTTGTCGGAGAAAAGCTGGTGGTGGTGATGCTGTTGTGGTTGACTGGTTGGAAGTTGCAAGTCAGCACGATGGAGTTGATGATGAATATAACGAGAAGCTGTGCCTAAATCTAAACCCGCCATGGATTATACAATTTATGAAAAGAAAACACAGTCAGAAGCAACAGAAACCAAGAAAATTATAAAAAAATGAATGTTTATTTAAAATAATAAGATTATATAAAGGAAATTATAGAAAAACAAAGATCTGGATGGTGAACCCTAGAGATTAGAAAACAAAGGGGGATATGATATGAGTGCAGCGAAAGGGAAGAGAGAAAGAGGTGATAGGGGGACAAACGCAGTCATTTCTCACAAGCTAAAAGTTCAAATATACGCATAAACAATTACAAACTTCATATTTAATACTTTGTTTTTATATCAATAATTTTGATGGGTTTCAAGAAAGGGAGTGTTTTCTTTAATTTAAATATTGATTTAAATTATTTGTTTGATCTAATGAAAACTAAAAAGATAAATCTTTGAAATTGGTATAAGTAGGTTGTAAAAAAATGTAAATAGTATTAAAAAAAGTTTTCAATTTGTATTCAATGTCCAAAAATCAAAAAAATAATCATGGTTTTGGTTTTTGGAATACTTGAAAGGACCATTTTGCATTTTTAATTTGATTTTTGTATTTTTTTTTAAATATTTTTAATTAAAAATAAAAATTAGACACATCTCTCTCTCTCTCTCTCTCTCTCTCTCTCTCTCTCTCTCTCTCTCTCTCTCTCTCTCTCTCTCTCTCTCTCTCTCTCTCTCTCTCTCTTTGAGATTATTTACTTTCTATCTTTGATCTCTCTGCATAGTTTGTTTCTTAAACCCAAAAAATCAAGGCACTTGATGATGATTTCATCCCACTCATTTTACACCCAAATAAACGGTGGAGATCAATACTTGAATGGAAAATTCATAGGAAAATTAGAAAGTTGCAATTAAAAAAAATACACACATATGAATTCCTCATAAACAACCTTACTCATTGATAAACCCTTCTCTAACGTTATACCGATTTGTAGTTATCTAAAACAAGCGACACATGTAAGTCAATAATATTTTTAGCCCGCCATGCATTTGTTAAAATGCGAAAGAAAGGTAAATTAACCTCTATGTAAGAGTAGGATTGACAACGAATGCTTTAATATGAAGAATGTGGATAACGGTAGTGTGCTATTGTCTCTATTTATATTGCAGCCAAATTACGAACGATTTTAACAATTAATGTTTAGACTTTTCAAACAAGTTTTGCAAAACTAAATCATTAATTAGTATTTTGTGAGTATGTGAATGTTGTCAATAGAAACATGAAAAATGAGATTTACATGGTAATAGTTTTGTATGTGTGTGTAAGATATAGGGTTTTCAATCTTCTTAAGGAAACAATAACATTTCATGATTGAAGCTTTGTAAAAACTTTGGTTTTTTAAGGGTCGGATATTAATTGAAGAGATTATTGGTACTCCTAGTTTATTTATGCATTTTTTTTATAATATCTAAAGAGCGTCAAATTAGGTATTATACTGCAAGCTATTAAGTTGATTCGGTGACAATGGTTCTTAAGTATGAACACAAAAAATGTTGCAAAATTTTCCTACCTTATGGATTTTGGTGTAGTTATGGATTCTTTTATTAGGTTTGGAGAGAGAGAGAGAGAGAGAGAGAGAGAGAGAGAGAGAGAGAGAGAGAGAGAGAGAGAGAGAGAGAGAGAGAGGAGGAGGAGGAGGAGGAGGAGGAGGAGGATGAGGAGGGGAGTAGGGGAAAAGAGGGGGAGAGAAAGAGAGGATATTGACATAGTAGAAGTGTAAAGTACTTACCTTCACATACAAAGCAAAGGTATGTAGAATCAAGAATTCAATCAAGTATTGATTTCATAACGCAAATGAATATGTGACCTAAATAAAAAAAATTTAAGCACCCATTAGTCTGGAAGGAAGCAAAGGTTACAACACACAAATGAACAAGAGTGAAAAAGCTTGTTACAAATAACCTATGCTTAATTATTATTTATAGTGTTATCAATAGAGGAGAAACATACAGGGGGAATTCAACATTAAGTTCACAAAACACTAATGCTCCCTGAAATACATAGATATTTTGGAGTTATGTAAACATCAATAAAGACAACATGACTAGCTTTGACATTAAGACCGTAAGACCTTGCTATTGAATATCTTTAAAATATTTTATACTCTACATTCTCTCCTTCAGTGAAGAGTATTAAAGTCTTCATACTGAAGGTATTATGTTTACAGCTTCCATCAATGTCTTCCTAATCTCCAAATACCAACAACTATTCTTCCTTATCTGATGTCTTTCAACATCAGAATTATTCTGGCACTTAGCAATTTTGAGCGGGAGGTTGCTTAAGTTCAGTATATCCTTCACATCTCGTTAGAAGAAATGTTTCCTTTCTTTTCCCTTTACTTTCCTGCCTTAAAACACTACACCCAAAGGTTTCAAGATTACCTCCGCATCTTCATATTGCTCTAAGTCAACCCCATCAATTGTTGACTTAGGATTTGTGACAACTAGGAAAAACCTTGTCACTAACTACCGTTAGAAATTAGCATAAACAAATAATTGTAATAGAGTATCAATATAATATTTCATTTTATAAATAAATATGATTGAGTATACTCTTACATATAAAGATAAATGAACTCATAGGCTCGAAAATGAGTGTCCAAAAAGTCGTATCATCTTCTAAATTGGTTAACATATTTGGAAAGTTCACGATGACGTGATTCTAGGGATACAAGCTTCATAACAACCTAACTTCGATTGGAGGAGTTATGATTTTTGTAAAAAGTAAAATCAACTGCGTAATTAAAATTATTAACATCAAAATAGTATTAAAAGTTCGGTTGAGTTTTGGCTAGTGTCACCAAAAAGAGGGTCGTAATAGTACCCGAGATAAGAGCTTTAAGACAAAGAATGTCGAAAATGGACCCAGTATGAGAAAGATATGAATTTTTATAAAATCATTTACTTATACCCCCATTAGGCAAAAACACGAAAGCAAAAACTAGCCAAAAACACATTAACATAAGTTGTAGCACTCATTGAGATAATCACATATACATAAAGACGGTAAGATCAGAGGTCATGCGCAGAAGACATCCTTTTTCCAAAATCATTTATGTGTGTGTGATGCACGACATGCATTTTGACCCCGGATTCAAGAAGATTGAGGGTGACGTGGCGTACAGAGAGAGAGAGAGAGAGAGGGAGAGAGAGAGGGAGAGAGAGAGGGAGAGAGTGTGTGTGTGTGTGTATGTGTGTGTGTGTGTGTGACACCTGTCGACTCCCCCATGATGTTCATGCATGACGTGCATAAATATTTGCACAACGTGCACCACAAAATCTTGCTATAAATAGAAGTTTCTATAGAACCACTATGCACACATCTTAAGAAATTCTCTCTTTCTTTATCTCTCTCTCTCTCTCTATCTATCTATCTATCTATCTATCTATCTATCTATCTATCTATCTATCTATCTATCTATCTATCTATCTATCTATCTATCTATCTATCTATCTATCTATCTATCTATCTATCTATGTATCTATCTATCTATCTATCTATCTATCTATCTATCTATCTATCTATCTATCTCTCTCTCTCTCTCTCTCTATCTATCTCTCTCTCTTTGTGTGTGTGTGTAATCGAGCTAGTGAATCCTAAGGTAGTTTCCTATGTTCCGAGTCCTGAGTCTACCATATATCAGCGAATCACACTACTAAAGTAAGTTCGCGACCCCACTTTTACTGTTTTCATATATTTTATAGGTGGGATACATGTTATAAAAAAATGTTATTATTTGTTCTATGTTTGTAGTTTATACTATCCCGAAATGATAGGATAATATTATGTTCAGTAGTTATCCTGCTAGAGCTTTAAAGATGGTATTTTGTCTACTCGTGGTAATGCCTAAAATTAAATTGGAGGATCATACCTAGTTGTTATACTTGCAAATTCCATAGGATAACATAATACCTAGTCGTTATGCTAACAAAACTTAAAGATTAGCATTGTACGTAGTTGTCACACCCCGAACCAAACGGCGGAAACATCCGGAGGCTTGTGCGTGACTTCATCCTTGTAGTATCATTACACAATATATAATTGAAACATAACATCATCATCATCACGCATGCAATATCACAACATACATTTTTTACATCGAGTATTGTGTTTGAATATTACAGGCCAAAATAGTTAAAGTATGATGAAACAAAATATAACAAAATATCCATTAGTTTGTTCCGCTCAACCTGCTTCAATGGTTTCCTGAGAATACAAGTTAATTTAAAAAGGTTAACATAAGAATGTTGGTGAGTTTATAAGCATGTTTTAGAAAATGGTTTTGTATAATTTTAAAATCACTAGAAAATCCTATATTTTTTGAAACAAATTTGGTATGTTTGTGAAAATGATTTGTCTTGGGTTATTGGTGTTGCGTCTTGGGCTCGCTTCCTAGTCCATTATTTGTGCGGTATGGGCCTGTCCATCCATATCTTATTTTCTAGGGTTTGTGTATTTATAGATGCTTGCATGCATCTTTTACGTAACCGATTGATTAGGGTTTTACGTTGTAATTATAGAAGTTATCTTTTTGTAACCCCAGAATCCTCTACAGCGGAAGTTCTTCATCGAGCTCTGCTGAGGATTGAAAGTTTAATCATTCGACAGATTCAAATCCATTCTTGAGTATTGCTTTACATTCTTTATATACCTGTTTCAAAGATCTATTCGATCTTAAAGGTTTTAATCTCATCAATTGGTATCAGAGCGGGAGGCTGTGTAATTCATACACATCTCTTCTGTGAAAGAAGCTATTAGGGTTTGTTCCGCATTAACTAATATTTATTGAGCCGTCACCCCATAATTGACGTATCTCATTACTTGTTCGTTTTGCCCTAATATTATATATTACAAGTCTGATCTTTCAAACAGGTTATTCGATCAAGCATGGACGAGTCGCCATCTAATCCCATTAATATTTCGAACAACATTGGATCAACAACGAAGATTCCCATCCTTTACACCCAAGATTATGAAGTCTGGGCAAATCACTTTGAAG